TAAGGGGGTCCAAGGTCTATTTCCCGTGGAAAAAAAGTTGACAAAAATCATTTGAGTCATCGTCTATGATTTGAATCAAAGTTTAATTACTTTGCATCCGATTGAATAACTGAATCACTAGAAATATTGCATTCAAACAGGCGCTTTGCATGTTTCGTAATATAAAGGCCTGTAGTTGTACCTATCTATAGTCAGGTGGGTGTGGGAGGAATATCCCCTCCCATAGACCCAAAAATTTCCAAAAAGGAAGCAACGGTATTGCATTAAATTGTCTTTATAAACATTCAAAGTTTTGTAATGTTAAAGAATGTATATTCTACCCCTACAGCTTCATGTGGCAACAAAGAAACCTGATATTTTTAACAACGTGTCTTTTTGCAGTAAAAAAAACTTTAGAAGCTGACAAAATCCACACTTCGTCTGTGTTAGAAATCATTCTGAGATGACAGGAGACATTGTGCATGTCAAGCTTGTAAAATGGCCGAAAAGACCCATATTACATAAAAGCTAATATATAATTAATTTAAATAATTTGTTCATGGAAAACTGTTAATTAAACTTATTTAAATAAAAACGAAGGTTATTGTACATTGGGCTATTGGACAACACTGTGTGAATGGAATAGACAATGGTATTGTGACATAGAGTTCAGACACTTTAATGTTAAATACAGTTGACATTGCCTAGTCATAATGTCGTTGATCTAAAGTTGATTGTTAATTACAATAAAATTTGAATTTGAAACTGTTAGTAGTATAAATAGTGTATTCTTTCAAAGTTTCAAGTGCTTTTAAGCTTGTATTTGGCAGTTTGTATTAAAGTAATTCAAATTCCTGAGTACAATATGTATACATGATATACATGATTCGATGATTATATTTCATGTGTATTCGATGATTATATTTCATGTGTATTCGATGATTGTATTTCATGTGTATTCGATGATTATATTTCATGTGTATCTTATATATCATTCATTCATGCCTCAATATAGAAAAAAAGATTTAAGGTCAATTTAATGAAACACAGTGACTATTCTAAGTCATATAATTATGTAACATTTAAAATCAAGACTTTAGTATTGTTTTATTTATCTGTCATGTAACCTTCACATACAATGTCATAGGTTTAAAGACTAAAGATAGTTTAAAACGGTCACTTATTACAATTCATTATTGTTATAGATACAAACAATTGTATAATTGTATTGATAATTAATGAATACACTAAAATCTAAAAGGGCATATATGGTAGTTACGCCCTATTTAGCCAAGTCCGAGTAACAATTTTAAAGAGCGAAACTGCTAGTTACGTCTTTTTAGAATTATTGGCTGATGCACAAAAATGTAAATATTAAAAGGGCATAATACGGATTTTGTGAGTTTTAATTATGGTGGTGGGCTATTTTAATTTAAAAAATGTTTTAAAAAATGTCGATATTAGTTTTTCTAAGTGTGTCCCAAATTTTACCATGATTGAAAAAGGATCAAAGTCTGCAGACAGTTTTTTTCAATTTCCCGAAACTTGCAAAAATGCATTTACGCCCTTATAGCACTAGACCGTCGAAATATTCCCAACCCAGTAGCAGGAAAAAACATTCCATTCTTTTTATTTCATTTCGCAAATTTCGCATATTTTTGATATTTTGGTTTCATGTCGCCATCTTGAATTTACCGACGTATGGATTACGAACGTTGAACGAGCGTAATCGATAGATGAAAATTGGATAAAATGTCTGGGTTAAATGGATTTATCAATTCACAAAATAAGTTTACGTGTTTTTATTCAATATCAATCGTTTCATGAGACATATCAGTGTTACATTAATGAACAGGATATGAGAAAACACAAAGTAAACAAGATTTGAAAATGTCGTTGAACAGTGTTGAACAGCTGATTTCACGGAAAATTGAAATTTTAAGTTTGCCAGTTCATCGTCAAGTGTTTATATTTTTTAAAGTGAATTTACCGACTTGAAAAAACATTCAGGTTGTTGACATGCAATACTGCGCTATAAAATATGGAATTTAAGCTGTTGCTCAATGCTGGATAAAGCAATCTGCTGTGATGAGTGGGTGGGGTAACTGATTTGGCCAGGATTCATTTGGCCATGTGACTCCGTTGAAACTGCAGAATGAGATATGGAAATGGACTCTAATGACTTATTTGTAACAGTGCCAGTTTGATCTGTAAAAGGCGATGGAGAATCTGACCGTGTAACTGTAGCTGATGGCCCAGTGGATGGATTGCGGACTGATGCCAATAATTTTTTTATTTTTTTTTTAATTTATTAAAAAGTGTCAAGCAATACAACAAAATAAAAATAAAACAGTAACAAATTTTTTTGTGTGTTTTTTAAATGTTTTATTTTCATCGTATCAAAATATGTAGTATTTGTAGTATCCAATGTAAACAGTAGACCGGAAATGACCCGAAAAAAAGTAGTTCCGTCAAGGTCAAAATGTGTATTGATGAGGTGTCTGATAAAGCTTGTCATGCACTTTATCAACAGAAATCAATGTAATGACATGATAAAAATAGAATATTGTATTTGTGAAGGTTCTTTACTGAATTTATTTAACTTGTTGAATAAAACAATATTATTCTCGCCTGAGGCTCGCACAATATGATTTTATTCAACTCGTTTAATAAATTCAGTATTAAATCTACACTCATTCAATAAAATCTATTGGTGCTCACTCGGGGAAATATATTCCGACCTTACACTGAACTAATCTCTATATCAAACTTCCAAACTACCAACCAAATTGTCGATCGTAATTTATTTGGCATTTACCACAATGGTAAATTTCACTTACTTAAATCTCTACTAATGTCTCTATAAAGATTATGACAAATATAATGTTTATAATTTGTTCCTGTTTAAATTTTCTTTAAAGGGCTAGATTTGATATAAACAAAAGAAAAACAACAAAGAAAGGTTATCACCAATTATTACCAAAGTTATTTTCATTTTAAATATTCAAATAGGTAAGACATTTTAAGAAGATTTAGAAACATTTTTACGTCAGCTATGTCATAAAGTGGTAATTTTGCGACATTTACGACATTGTTGCGACATTTGGCGGCAATGTTTGTCCTCATTTGGTAACAATGAAATAATCTTCTGGTTTTAAGACTCGGGTAATCTCCATTGAAGTCGTCTGCTTGATATTGATTTTATGACCGTTACTTGTGACACACATTGATATCATTCTGATAAGGTGGTGAAATTCAATTTTTTTTTTGCAATAAACTACAGAATTGATGAGTTGCTGACATCTGCTCAGTTATTGCAGAAGAGAATAAGTGTTATCAAAAATGCAATGGAAAATACGCTTGCAGAATTAAAGACACGTTATTACGAAAGACCAGTAGGGCTATTTCGACTTCATGAATTCCCGATTTCATCTTCATGAATTCACATATTTAACTTCGGGAATTCAGGTTTTCAACATACGAAATTCATGAATTCATGATTTCAGCTTCATGAATTCATGATTTTAACTTCAAAATGCTATCATTTTTATTTCACAGAAAACTTCAATTTTTTGGTATCTTGACACAGTTTTCAAAAAATACTCATATGTCAATTATTGATTCGAGAGCCTCAATCGAATAACGGCGGGCAGCATTCAAGTAACTATGCCGGAAATACGGCGTAAGACATCGCCGCTAATCTTGGTTGTCGCCAATTCTAAGAAACGGACAGTGGTCAATGTAAACAAATATCTGTCATTCAGTTTAACCCTCCGATTAACTTAAAAAACAAGATAACACAAAATGAATATGAGAAAATCTTGTTTTATTGATGTTTATATTGATAAATGTTTGCGAGAATAACGTTTAGTGCCTGATTTTTTTATAAACTTGTGTGCTTGAAAAAAAAAACTAATCTGATGTCACTGGTCTTTTTCTTCCGCCAATCTGAAATCATTCTAGGAATTTCTGAGGGCCATGTTTTGTTTTGGGTAGATAATTTTTTTTTGAGTTAATAAATATCTAATGTTAACCTTAAAAGTTTGTTAAATCAATTAAAATTCGAAATTTCGTTCGGTTCTGAGCATTTGTATATTTATTTGTTGGCCCCGGAAAAATAAAACGCATATGTAAAACATGAAGAATTGGATAAATGCCGTCCAAGTACAAGGATAAATTGTATCTGTTTTGTATTTGATATACATCATGAATCTGATATACATCATAAATCTGTTTTATGTTATAATAGCGTCAATGCACGCTTAGTTCGTGTTATAAAGTCTGCAGAATCTCTCGGACTGTTGGAGCCCTACCGGGATCGGGCACCATCCGTGCCTCGGCACTCTGCAGACCTTATAACACAAAAAAATGTGCGTTAACGCTATATAAAGGCGAAGTAACGCAAACCGCAAAAGGCGTAATTACGCAAAACAAAAGGCGTTATAACGCTTATTTCATACAATATTAATTCACTAAAATTCACTATATTCAAATGCGATTACTCATTAAAGCTTACTAGAGGACATGATCAGTGACCCTCTTTACGTATCAAATGCAACATTAAATCAAAATATAACACTGGAGAAAACATCTCATCTCGAAAATCTAAATAAGAAAGCGGATTTGGTCAAATCCCATATTGTATGTTAAAATACCCCTGCAGGTTAAATGATGTAATTATATTCTGTGCATTGTAAGTCCTTAACTTTTTCTTAAGTTGGTTTTAAAAACTTCTTAAGTTGTCTGTGTAAAAATATGTAATAAATAATCTATAATAATATTTCTTCTATTCTTTACACTTTGCATAAATATAACATAATTTTTTACAGCACAATAGTCACATACACAAAATTGTAAAGTAATTGTAGTAGTTGTGTGAATCTAATCTTTAATTTATTCGGTTCATTTATTTATCTTATCGTTATTTAAATGTTACTTTTCCCAATTTCCGTTCTACAGATTTTTTTAATGTTGAAAAAAGGAGGGGATAATCTGAATATTCTGATATTCATATTTTTCAGAAAGGTTACATCAAATAGAAACGGAAAATGGCTAGCCCGGATAAGAAACGGAAAATAGCTCCCAAGGTAAGGACATTATAAAATAAATAAATCAAATAATAAATAAACCAACAAATAAATTTGTTTATTTATTTATTTATATTTATTTTTTTATTTATTCATTCATGAAAGCTTGAGTGAGTGATTAATTGATTGATTGATTGAGTGATAGAAATATAGATTGACTGATTGGTTGACAAATTGATTGATTGATTGTTTGTTTGATTGGTTGATTGATTACAAGTTGCGGTTGTCTGTTAAGTGTGAAAATATTTAAAAACTTAAAAACACATGCATGATTTTTCATTTGGATATCGGATATATATAGTATATGGAAGATATTTGTTTTGCATGTAAGTTGACAATGTATTTCACAGAGTGGCGTTGCCATTTGTGAATATACATCAGCCGGTGGTGAAAAGATATAATATGCAAAATATATAAAATTTCTATTCATTTCAGTGTTTTAATGGCTTTAAGGTAAGATCCCTGTAATGGAATCGGGTTTTTCCGTGTCATTTCGGCATTCTACGTAACTTATCGGCACATCCGTTACCTCTCGCCCGTTTCCGTAAACAGATTATTTTTTACAACTTGCGCTCTAGTTTATGACGCCATCAAATCATGTCGTGACAATGATGATATTTAAAAATCATTTACAAAAATTTCACTTAATTCATAAATTTGTTTCATTTTAAAAATGATAAAAATGATCAATATTTTTGACCTCTGAGACACATAAATTCAATTTCTAGCTGCTTTAAAATTCAAGCCGATCCTGAAATTGTTTATAAATGAGCTTTTATGCAAAGTTTATCAAACAATTCATTTTTTGCCCCCAATATTTTATTTGAATAAAAGTGTAAGGGGCTTCGGACAGTAATAACTTAAGGAGATGACAATTATGAAGATTAATCACAAATATTTATTGTCTATATATGAATGAACAATGTTCTAAGTTCTGCCGCTTTCAGGACACTAATAATTATTAATTTTATATAAAAGCTGCATATTCCTTTGTAAAATGAATGCGAATAATCAAATAGTTAAAAGAAAGTCTTAATTTATTATTGACAGGTTTTTAACGATCCTATCCATGGTAATATAGAGTTACATCCCTTGCTGGTGAAGATCGTAGACACGCCGCAATTTCAACGCCTAAGATTCATTAAGCAACTCGGTGGCAAATATTTCGTGTACCCCGGGGCATCACATAACAGGTTCGAGCACTCCATCGGGTATGTACTAGTATCTCGTTATATTATTTTTTCAAAGGTCTTTATTTTACCTAAATATATCCTTCAATCCTTAGCACCCAGACCTCAGCACCCCCATCGTTACACAGCAAGATGTTATTTCGTGTCACTTATTAGGCACATAACTCTTATATGGTTCCGTATTCAATTATGTACTCGTACAAGTTATCTCCCCCCGGACTACAAAGCGGAAGTCTTGTGTTATTTAAAACATAAAACTGGTCTAAGTGTTGTGCAGAAGCCAATTATTTAATCAACTTAACTTAGCTTTTTTTCTGCAAACTGATAATCCTGTGAACATTGTGTCGTAAATTTCAACGAAAATTCATTAAAAATTATTTACAACTCATTCATTTCCTCTTGGGGAAATCATGCATTATTAGTTAAATTTAATGATTAGAAATGTCGTGTTCCATACAAGACTCAATCAGCAACATAAGAACGATTTTAAGCCCAAATCTGCATTAAATGGTGATTTTTAGTCTTTGATTTTTTACATGAAAGTGTTTGCCACCTAGCCGGACGATTCGTGCGAGCTCTTAGAGACAAGCAACCGGATCTGGAAATAACGGATGAAGACGAACTTTGTGTTGAAATCGCAGCCTTGTGCCATGACCTTGGTAAGATTTATTTTTCTAATACATACCATTTGTGAAGGTAGATATCGTGATTCAATTTTTAGTGCACTGACGTAGAGTTATACACAATTCGAGCTCTTTGTAGATAGAAATACGCAATTATATAGTCACACAAATGTCAATAGGTCTGTGAGGTTATCTATGTACAATACATTTGAACGATACACAATGCATTATTTTAATACAAGGCAAGAATTATATATATAATAACAACAGTAAAAAATTTAAAAGAAAGATAATTATGTTAAACTACATAAAGCGGAGAAGTAATTTTGTGTGTCGACGTCACTTCTGACGTCTTATGATATGCAAGCTTTCATTGTTATGCTATGTATGTATCATGTTTTAATTTATCAATGAAAATTTTCCCATGCTGCGATTTGTCGGAACCCTGCTTTTTTTTTCATTGAAAAAGTCGCCATTTTGAATTGCTGCAAGGTAGGTTACCGAGACATTTTTAAAACAAGAATCTCATTTGCAATACTTCACAACAACGGAATTTAACATTAGTTATTTTTTCTTCACTAAGTAATTAACTTTTTTAGTTTATGTACAGTTAATTATTAAAATTGTCAATAATAAAGTGCTTTCATAATCGCCTTGTTAGTAGGCTTTAGACAGTCATATTAGCCTTCGGCCGAATATGTCTTCAGTCTTCAGTCCAATCTCAAGGCCATTATGAAAACACTTAATTATGAACATTATATTAATATTTGATGCAAAATTACATGTAAACATGATGTTTTTATTCTGTTTATTATGCAATATCATACATTACATAAATATTTTCCTTCTTTATTAACATAAATACTAACGGGAGTGTCAATTATAAAGTTTTCAGTATGTCTTAAGCGGTTCGACAAAAAGTAAAGTGACCGCCTTATAGGACATTATTTTTTTATCGGACCGCTAAAATTAAAATGAGCCGTGTCACGACAAAACCAACATAGTGGGTTTTCGACCAGCATGAATCCAGACCAGCCTGCGCATCCGCTCAGTCTGATCAGGATCCATGCTGTTGGCTATCAGTTTCTCTACTTGTAATAGGGTTTGTAAGCGAACAGCATGGATCCTGATCAGACTGCGCGGATGCGCAGGCTGGTCTGAATCCATGCTGGTCGCAAACGCACTATGTTGGTTTTGTCATGACGCGGCTCAAATGAATTACTGTATTTTATACCTTTTTCACAGGACACGGACCATTTTCTCATGTCTTTGATATGAAAATTATTCCTAAAGCGTGGGAAATGGATGACCGTAAAAATAATGAAAAATGGAAAGTAAGCATTTATACATTTTCTTCAATTAATTAAACTGACCATGTGACTACAGTTATAAATGAGAATCTCAGGTTGTTTTCACGTTGTTTAAACTTTATACAGGTATTTATTTCGATCTGTTTATGAATAAATTCAAGGGATGTTAGGTATATGTTTCACTTATGATATTTAAGAGTATATTTGGCAGTCAGCTGAACTGGTCACACTATATTATTACTATGCATCTATTATGAAGAAGAGGTTTGTTAAGCATCAGCTGTGGTTTAACGGCGCACAAACACAGTTAAGGTCAAATATAGCGCCAAAACATGACATATGATTTGGGTACCTCAACTTGAAGCAACACCAGGGGCCAAACCTGCTGGAGCTATGAGATGCATAGACTTTAGTTACTAGAACCCATTTAGTTGCCTTTTACGATCACACAGGCGTCATTTCATCTGTTCACAATGATTTAAATAGATAATGAATAAGAAATGTAAGACTCGGTGAAAAAGGAGACTTTTTTCTTCTTTGTGATTATGATATCTGCAAGCGTCTAGAGGTACTGCCCAAACACTGTATTGAGTTGATTCCAATTACCCAAGGTTATTAAGTTAATGAAAAAACAGAAAACTGGTTTGGATTTTAAGAGCTACAATAACAACTCTTCTGCCTTTTCCGTCAAACCTCGGCCGTTTCCGTCAAACTTCGGATAAGGATGTGTAGAATATGTAAAAGTGAATAGTCATATCACTTGAATCTTGATATATATTTTCATGAAGCACGAGCAAGGCTCGATCGACATGTTTGATCACATGCTGAAAGTAAATGCAGGACTTGCAAAAGAATTCAACGATATGAAATTCACGAACGGTAAGAAATTCACGGAAAAGGATAAAACATTTATTAAAGAATTGATAAATGGGCCAAAAAAAGATGACCGCAAAGGAAGAACGAAAGAAAAATGGTTTCTATACGAGGTACATTTTTTTGATATTCTAGATATACATGTATCAGCAACAATATAAACGTACAAAGCAAGTAATTTGATTACATGTATTTTTATGCATTCTTCAAGTCTATGTTTCGTCAAAATTTCATGGTCACGTTTAATCTGGAAAGACAATCTTGTTTATTAATAATTATTACAACTTTGTTCATACTTTTTAGTCACATTAAATCAATTAAGCTCTATAAGTATTTTGTTTTAATTTATGACGAAAAGCGGCTCAAGCGCCTCGCTTGACTCTTGTTTACTAAGCGACAAATGTCGTACACATATCATTTCAAGTTTATCATAAGAGTAGATTGGTCTACATTGGGCACTATTTTCATAGTATTTCAAATAATGATAAATCAATGGAAAAGGATTATTTTGATATTAAAATGGAACATTTCTTCAAATTTACTGTATTTTACAGCTGAATACTTGTTTTTTACAAATAATACTATTTTTGCAGCTTGTTTTCTGAAAAGAAATTTTAACTACCTATTAAAACTGTTTAAATTAGACAATTTACTTTCTGTGGAGCAAGGGCTTTTGAACGCATGTCAACAGTTGCATTTGAGGAAATGATCAAAATAAGTAATAGTTAGACGTTTAAGGAAAAAATCAAACGCTAAAAACGCATAGTCATTTGCATTTGATAAAGCAATTCAATGATCGCTCAATAAGCATATGTACGTAGATTTCCGTGTAAATCACGTGAGTTCACGGACAATAAAAATTTTGTGAAGCGCCGTATTTGTAATAAAAATATTATTAATTAATATTTTTTTAATTTTAAAGTAAATGAAAGGAATTTCCAATATCATAGAATCATATCCTAGAGAAATTTTGTTTTGGTTATATTCTGCTGCATTTCACGCCAGCAACCTAACTGACTTTTAAAATAAAATCTAAAACATTTGTCAACATTGTAGATTGTTTCCAACGACCGAAATCAGATAGATGTCGACAAGTGGGACTACTTTGCACGTGACTGTCACATGTTGGGTATTGGAAACAATTTTAATCACAATCGATTAATATCATTCTCGAGGGTTATAGAAGTTGAAGGAGAACAGCAGATTTGCTACAGAGACAAAGTAGGCATTGTTTGACTTTATCTTATGTTGTTTGGTAAAATATTGAAATATTGCAATGAGATATAAGTCATATTACACTTTTTGAAACATAGAATCAGGGTACTGTTATATACATTGAAAGGCACGGGAAATCGGAACGCACGAGGTGAATGCATTTTTATTTTAACTTATTTCGGGTCTTTGCTGCTATTGTGATTAATGTCTGGAATGATGACGTTATATAAGCAAACGTTTTTGACTTTAATAAATCTTTTATAACTCGCGCTTTGTGCTCTAGATATCTAAAGTAAACCCAAATGGATATATAATCCATGTCCACTTTCCAAACAAATATCCTCAATTTTTGATTTGCTATTATTTGAATATTGATTAAACATCTGATATAAACAACTGTTCTTACACTGATATACCTGTGTTTTATCTTCTTTCTCATTGATCGATAAATTCGTTATTACTGGTTACTTATCATGGAGAGCATGAGCCGAGATATGACCAAAGACTTGTTAAATTTGTTGAAAAAAATATTGTCTACATAACCTTCTAGTATATCATGTTGTTTGTTGTACACACGCTGTGTATGATAATAAAGATATATATCTAAAAGTTATAACAAAATATATATCACTAAGTATACTTGATCTTTTATCTTTAAATGCTATATTTAATGTAGAGTTTAAAAAGAAAATACAGTACATGCATGGTAAAAATCTACATACAATGTTTATTTCTAGGAAGCTACAAACCTGTATGATATGTTTCATATCAGAAATTTACTCCACCAGAGGGCGTACCAACACAAGACAAGCAACAGCGTCGAAATCATGTATGTATCGATGTTAATATCTTTTATTCCTCCAATATTGAAGAGCATAATACATGTAACAAATTACTAATATTTTACAAATAGTAAATAGAAACATATGTACAAATCAATCATAATCAAAATAACAAAACAAGTAAAATGGTTTCCTGCGGGGAACATTTTTAATGATATAAAGATATTTCATTTAACTATTTTCAACATTGTTTGGAGGGATAAATAAACGTTTGCATCAGGAATATAGTTGACAATAATCGATCAATATAGAAGAAGGTCTTTGGTGATGGTGACCGTTGAAGACCGGAGAAGGTCGAACATAAAACAATTATTTATTTTAAGAAAATTATTAAAATAGGCCTACCATTTTATGAATAATTCCGAGCAAAAGAAATAAACACACAAGTTTACGCATACAATATCCCTATTTATTAGATGCCACTACGTATACATGTATTTTAATCTTGTAGATTTTCAGTATAAACAATTTATTGTTTGTAAAATTTGAGATAGATATTAAAGAAACATTGATAATTTTCAAACACATCATTCAAGTTTTTCCACCTTAAACGGTAAATAATTATAGAAAATTAGAAATATCACGTAATAGTGTTTTGTTCTTAATGAGGTGCAATTCGGACTAATTCCCTAGAGGTAAATCCGTAACGTACCGGCAAATGGTATTTAGCTAGGTTTTCGAAAAGGTCAATTAACCAATCATGTACGGTTTACAGATCACATGCTCCTCCATGTACCGAAAACAGGTCACGTGCTCCTCCATGCCTCAAAAGTTAAACGCGTACCAATACCCTGCGGTCTCCAGACCGCAGGGAATAACAAATGCGTCCTTAAGAATCTCACAGTTGTCTAAACGCAGAAATAAAGATCGAAAATGTCAGACAAAAGCGTTATTCATAGTAATAATTATTAAGTATAAACAACTGACAAAAGACAATGTCCACGAAAACAAAAGGCTAGCCAAGTTACAATGGAATTTGTTCCTGCATACTTAAGTAAAATTAAGTTATAAAGTAATAAATAGGGATAATATTTCAAAAACTATGACGAAAAAACATAGTTGCATTACATAATTATGTAATTTGAATATTTCAAAGTATCGGATATAAAATGCATTTGTTCAATATCACACTAATCGAACATTTTGCAAACACATATACGAGGGTTGTTCTGGAAGTTATGGGAATTTTGTCATACCTCTATATTTTTTGTTTCTAAGACGTAATATTTTGCACATACTAAGATTAGCATATCACGGAACTATTCCTAAAGATTGTATAGAATCAGACAACAATAGCCGGAAATAGCAGTAATCATAGCAACACTATAACGCCGCACCTGAGCAGTCCGACTCTAGTTATAACGCTCTGCACTAATAATATTTCGTAATTTTGATAACGTAAAAAATGCGCAAAAACGCTGGTCAGCAGCTGAACGTCATGACGTCATTTCCTGAAAATATCATAACGTTATTCAAATTCTAAACGGATCAACATTGTTTTAAAGTTGTTGCCCAGAGCCACTGATTAAACAACATGACGTCGATAGGTGACGTTGAATTGCGAAGCATCGTGAAATTTTGTGTTGCGCTGGAAAAGTCTTCCACAGAAACAATGAAAATGGTCAATTCTACAGGAAAATACAAGAAATGCAGTCCGGCTACAGTGTATAGATGGCATGCTCGTTTTAAAGAAGGAAGAAACTCGATCGAAGACGATCCTAGATGCGGTCGGCAGTCTGTTGTTGCATGTTTAATTAAGGACTCGGTAAAAGACATGATCAATTGCGACAGAAGAACGAGAGTTTAAGCATCTTGTTAAGCATACGCAAGCTATAGTCTCGTCCTTTACCGATAGCTGGTACGTGGAAACATACAATACGGAAACAAATCAGCCGCAAGTATTATAGGGGTCTCTTTGGCCCCAAGACTGCGCATGCGCGGCGGCCATTTTGTTTTCTATAAATAGTAACTCATTTGCATAGAAGAAATGACCTTACTACACATGCACGGCGGCCGTGTTGAATAACAGACGCGCGGCGGCCATTTTGGATTCTTTTTTAAGAATAACATCATCACATTATAAATAGAAATAATATCTCCCGGAAGTATACGGAGCTGACTCGTATACACGATCTTAGGGCTTGAATCGCGGACATTGAAGGTCAGGTCCTCGGCCCTAGACGGGGAGATAATCACCATTATTATAACTACAGATAACCTTTGTATAAATACGTGCTTAACTGCACATATTAATTAATAAAATCATTGTTCGAATAAAGTAGAATCTCTTTAAAA